AATGCAAAGTGACACGCAACAGAGAGAAATTTAAACATGGGATATATTAATATACTATAATAATAATGTATTTTTCATACATAATTGGTTATCCGAAAAATCAATTTTCCGAACAACCCCAGTCCCCAATTGATTCAGATAATCAACACTTTACTGTACTAACAAACATATCTTCTTTTTGTACTTTTATTAAACTTTCTGGGTGCAGTTTCTACCTAGAAAAAAATTCTATCTTCCTCAACTCATTAGTTTCCAAAGTTATAAGTAAATTTTTCATTGTCCATTATCAAACAGTCGGCTCTTAAATAGGCATTTTTATTCAAAGATTTGCCTTCATAAAATGAGGCAAAAGTTTTTTATGTCTTATCCTGGATCTATTAAATCATCAAAAACTTTGACTCTAGCATAATTTTGATTTTCTTGAATTTGTTTTAAATTTTGAAAAATTAATCTTTTATCATTCAGACCACTTAGTTCCATTAATATCAAATTAGTTTTTGAATTCTATAGCAAGTTTTTGGTGAAATATGTTCTTCATTATTTCTTTTAATCAGTTTAAGAAATTCTGTGACGTTATTTGTCAATTCTTCATCATTATCCATTAACCCAGAGATGACTATATTGTTTTTTTTAAATTTGTTATGAAATAAATCTAACAAAAAAGACTGCATAGAAAATTGTCTGTACAGTAAATACTGTTTTAAGCATTGTTAACTCTTCAATTTTCTCTTCTATTGTTCTTTGTGCTCTTTATGCAAATTATTCAGCGATTCGAATTTTGATGACAGTTCATCCAATTTAGACAAAATAGTTTGAAACCATTCTTCGTAAAAAGAAAGCAATTTCTCGGGAATTGAAGAACTCGCTTCCTGTGATGGAAAATAATCTTTGAGATGTGATACCTTTAATACTGGTTTATTTGGAGAATGCCGATGTTTACTGATGGATGACTAATCTTTTCGTGGGGGAGGAAGGAGGAGTGTGAGACATTGGTCCAGGATTCTGCTCCACACCTCCAATCCCCTCTCCAATAAAATAAGGATTATCAGTAGTGATAATAAATTAAAGCATTACAGTATAGCCATGTATAAGCAAAAATTAATTAATTCTTTGGAATACTAACTTGATAATACAAATAAAGCACCAAGTTCAAGTGTCACAAAAAAAAAAACAAAAAAACACCTGCAATAATGAAAAAAAACTCAAGCAAAAGAAATTAAATTTTAATGTATTTGATATTTCCATTTTTATTAAAATTTATTTAAATTATTATTATGAATGTTCAAATATAGTAATATAGTTCACTCATATTATACAAATCACATTTCTTGTATTGTTGTGTAAAGATGAATAACTAAGTCACTTTATCAGTGAATTGACATGTCAGGTTTGCAGATAATGTGTCTTTCAGAATGGATAATCAGCTCATCTCTTCAATGCAAGAAAATGGAACAGTTCTCTTCAAACTACATTGCTTTAGTGTGATAATTCCAGACTTTTTAAATGATCATAGCAGGCAAGTACCTGCCTCTTATGCAATGTTAGAAACATTTTGTGACCATGTGATATTTAAAAATGTGTATGTATATATATATTATATATACACAGTAATTTTAAAAAACTTTTAAAAAGGAAAAAAAGTCATTTTAAAACAATGAATATACAGTAGAGCGTTGTTTGTCCGAAGGTCGGTTATCTGAAGGAATTCCAGTCGACAAATTTAAATTTTCGCCAGTGCTGTGGCGCTGTAATCTTTGGCTATGTCTTCGGCTACTCAAATATTTTACGTTTTTGATACTAAATTAACTTCTGAAGTATAATTTTTTATTGTTTTTATATTTTTCAATATATTTATTTTGTTTGTACAAAATAAAAAAATAATTTTTAACGATACAATAGTCTTCGTTAGGCTTAACATCGACGAAAATTCAACGCGAAGCGACACGCAACGGAGAAAAAT